GTACCCGTACTGATCATGCAGGATCAGACGCTACTTTCAGCCGAAAGCAGGCGGGGAGCTGAAGTGCTCGCCCGAAGCACTCCAACTTTACCGAACGGAGGATGGACGTGACCTAGCTTAACACTTCGGAGGGCTCATACCCGATCATACTGAACCCTGCTAGTGCATGGTCGATGTGTGTGCATGAGTTCAATACGTTTTGGTGGGCCTTCTACGTTGTGCCCAGGAGAGCGACTTCGAGACATGCTCCGTGAGCACGGGACGTTCGAGGCTCTCGAGGTCATGGTGAAGAAGTGGCACAAGCAGAGCCTAGGAACCAATCGATCTGGTGGCTGGTACACGAAGCATGTGCTGGCAAGCCAGTTCCATTGGTCGAAGTGCCATGCATGATCGAAGGTTCTGTGCGGTTTCTAGATCTAATTGCCGTGTGTGTTGCAGATCTAGTTAGTCATCGAGGTCCATGATCAATTCCGCTTGGGAATGGGCAAGATCTCGGAACTTGCTCCGGGTGAATCCTATTCACAAAGAGGAGGAGGCTAAGCTCGTCATCAACGACAGCTTCGAGCTTTGCACGGAGACAGGCTCCGAGGTCGACATGTCGGGCAACATCGAAGCCCAGGATTGAAATCGATATATGTGTTAGTTAAGCTTCACATGTGTGATAGCCAGCTAGCTACATGTGGCATTTATATGCGCAGGATGAAAGTGGGTTCCTCTTGAGCTCGGATGTCCCTGCCTCGTCCGCCACTGACGAAGTTCTGCTGCGAGAGGCAGCCCCAACCTCGAATGCAGGGGGAGATGCAGTGGATGTGGCCAGGGCATCCTCGTTCAAGATACTTTGCGCTTATAGGTGAGGCTTTCGTTTTCAAGTCAAGTGTGTGTGTGTGTGTATTCTATATATATATATATACAGTCTGTCTCTCTCACTCTCTCACTCTCTCTCTCTCTCTGTCTCTCTCTCTCTCTCTGTCTCTCTGCATACACGTCGGTGGTTTTGTTTGTGTGCATGTACGTGTGTGTGTGTGTGTGTGCATGTCTATGTCTATGTCTCTCTTTATCTGCGTGTGTCTGTGTGTGTGTGTGTGGGTTGGGGTGGTGGGATAAGGTGTTTTTTGAAGGTGAGGGTAGGGGGGGGGCGGGTGTGTGTGTGTGTGTGTGTGTGGTGTGTGTGTGTGTGTGTGTCTATGTGGGTGGGTTTTAGGGTTTTGGGTGGGTGGGCGGGTGGGTGGGTGGATTGTGGGTGGTGGGTGTCACATATAGATATATATATATATATATTATAAGTACACGTATGTGTGTATAGTGACACGTAGTGTAGTTGTGTGTGTGTGTGTCTATAGCT